AAAAAAAGAAAAAAAGGCAATCTTCTGAATTACAACAGGATCGATCAAAGGAAGCCCCCTGAGCTTCTTACAGATCAAATTTTTTTGTTCTTGAAGATATAAAAACCGATCCATTTCAGAAACAAAAAGGGGATTTCCAAGGCGGGGAGGATAGTGAGACTACACTCGGTATATGTGATATCATAAAGAAATTATCCTGGCCAGTCCTACTGGTTAAGTAGAGAAACCACACGACTGGCGCTCGCGTGTATCCCCCTTAATGGCGCGGTGCGCGTCGCGTGGGCAAGTGATGGGAGGTGCGTGGTCATACAGAATGTGGAGATGTATGGGCCAATGGGAGCGCGGATAAATCAAGAGAGCCCTGTCTTTTTTATGGCATTATGGATCAAAAGCCGCAATCTTGCGGCCATGGAAATAATCTGATACCCATAACCGCGGTTATGCCGCAGCCTAGTTCTACTAGGGTGCCGTTTTTTAGGACTACGTCACCCGGGTTTCTACGCAGGTGCATTCCCTGGGAAACATCATATGCGTTCATGTGACAGTTTTTGCGTCACCATAGAATAGTGTGGTCCTTCATCTTGAGTGCTCTAGATCCTCAGACTAAACTTTCTGCTTCTTGAGTATTTTAACGGTTCGTTTAGTGGGAGGAAAATATTGGAAAGCTGTTTGCCCTACGACTTCCATCACCATCAGCTACCGAACACACCTAAAGCAGGCTTCAGTCAGAATCACATATTCACACCACACCCCTCCTCCTGAGCTACAATTTTAACTTGATATCATCTTATGCTGCTTCGGTGGCCATACCTCAAGTCCCATCATAACACAGCATGGGGCAAATGTCCACCTCAGTGAATTGCTCAGAGCCAGTTTCAGAGATTAAACCCTACCCGGATATCTGCGGTATTGGGGCAAGTCATCATTGAGTCCCAGTATACTACCTAAGCTGAAAGGCTACTACAGGTTGTAATAGGATATGTATCGACGGCGGGTATCGTCATCGTTATCCTACTCGTGTACTATGCCTTCGCCTTTCAGCACAACTTAGATCCTTTTCGGAAAACGGGCGAAAATCGAGTTACCAATCGGCCCAACCCAGTTGACGGTCTTGTTTACCAGGTTCTTAAGCTGAGAAACGGCAATAATGACTTGTCGACTAGAGCCCGCTTTGATAGGATTCTGACAAAGGTATGCACTAAATCCTTCTATGAAATCAGTTGTATTCGTCTCACTTACTTATTTGCCAAAGTGTGTTCTCTGTATGAGTGACCTTCAAATTATCACAGGGTCATCTATCCTAATCGGTGGATATGCCTCGCTTCCCTCAAATAATATTTCTATTTACCATTGGAGCGTACTTGTGTACCTGGCCTGGTTTTCGAGTTTGACTCACCTCTGCTGCTTAACGTTCCTTAGAAACTATCTCTACAACCACCCTGGACAGCGACTCTGGAGAGTCATATCAATGTCCGCCATCGTTGCCCTATTATCATCGGCAATTTACCCGACCGGTAGCTTTGAGAGGACATCACCATCACCAGGTACACCAGCTCAATGCTACTTTAAAAAAGAGTCCGATAAAGATATCGCCCCTTTTTTTTCAATGATCGTCTCCATCATTTTGATATGCCTGGCTTTTATCTGTCGAATCTTCAGACTCCACAAAACTCTGTCAGTGCATTTAGGAGGAAAGGTCAGGGACTGTGTCAGTGAATGCATTCGACACATTCTACGTCGTATCTATAAGTGGTGCAACGTTTCCAGGTATCCTCAAGGTCTAAGAAGAACATTGATCTATCATCCATGTCTAGCGGTATTTCTTGTTCTTCGTGTTGCCCTTGATGCATACTCATCAATGTTTATGGAGGTGGGTGTTTCCTTTGCCCCGTAAGACAATTAACTGAGAGTTACGTAGATATGGTGGCTTCTCGTAAGCTTTGTCTGGGGTGTCATCCAACTGGTGGATGTGCGTCGAATTGCGGATGAAGGGAACGGCGATTGGACATTTGGTCAAATCGCTCCGTTGCTTCTGCTTTGTGCCCCTGTTGTCACTGTGATTGAGTATGTTTTCGATGAAGGTAATACTGACCGGATGGTGTCTTACAATAGAGCGAGATTATCTAACTTGATCTTGATAGATGAAGAGCCGGACCGCAGAATACTGCCAACAGTAGCAGCGAGCATTCGTGGAGCAGACCTTCAAAGCCCTGCTTCCCAAGCAGGAATGACAAAAAACACCCAGCCAGGCACGCCAAGTTCAAGTCTACCAACAACCAGGTCAAGCACTCCAAGCATAGGCATGCAAAGCCCTAATGCCCTTGCAAGGGGGAGTCTAAGTCAACCAGCATCCAGGACGAGCACCCCTCTTGGTTTGCAAATTCCTGCTCCTCTAGCCGCCAGAAATACAAATCTACGGCCAACCAGGTCAAGCACCCCAGGCACAGGCATGCAAAGCCCTAATGCCCTTTCAAGCGGCAGTCTAAGTCAACCAGCATCCAGGACGAGCACTCCTCTAGGCCTGCAAAGCCCAATTTCCCCAGCGCGAATGGCAAGCACAAGTTGCTCAATTGCGGGAACACCAGACAGTAACGACCCACTATCGTCGCGCACGCGATTTGAGACATTGGAGAGAGCAGAACCAACCGATATAAGGGCATTTTACGACGAACCGGATAGTCTTTTCTATGATCAGTTTTGGTTCAAGACAGTGACACTGTATATCATCCTTTCGACTATTGGTATGAGTATCGAAGCGATAGCGATAACGGCCCTTGGGAAAATTTCGCTTTCTCAATACTTTTTTAAAATATCCTTGCAAGGTGTTTATCTCACAATGCCTCTATCTTTTATCATATACACTATGTATGCCATCTTTCTGGAGAACATTCGGCCTATGAGCAAGTTTCTAGGTGAGCGGGCAGTCTCTCTGCTGAGGCTTGCCCTTTTATCGTGGTGTCTGGCCGAAATTCTTATGATTGATGTCTTTCCGGTCCTCGCCATACTAATGCTTTATGTACCATTTTGTGCTTACATTATCTGCTGCCTTGTCTTCTGTTGTGCTTCCTGGTTTTCTCAAGGTTTGGAACATTGAGCATGGGTCATGAATCAAGGGAGGTATTTATGAGTCTAAAGAACATCGGTATTCAGTAGCTGGACTTGGTATAGAGTGGTTAAACTTGACATTAGTTCCCGAAATAATCAAAGAGTATACTGGTGAAAAGGGGAGCACGGTGGCAGTTCGGCCAGGCGGACGGGACAGAAACCATCACACAGAACAGCGATTCGGTCAAATAGGACAGGCAGCGCTGTGTGAGAATATAGGCAGATTAAGCAATGAAAGCCTATGCCCTGAAACGAACGAAGTGAGAGGAAGGGAAACGTCCCGCACGTGACAAAAAACTATAAAGTCTCGCGACTCAACAGACTGCCAAAAGTCCATACAAATTTGTGGCGAATTATGTCCAAAATCGCCCTGATTGGCTCGCTGTAATTCATCTCATTGGAGATATCTCGGTCGATTTCATTGGAGACTTCTCGTTCGATGTCATTAGAGATCTCTCGTCGATGTCATTGGAGGCTATTCTTATAGTGTCATTGGACGCAGCTCTTACCGGAAACGACTCGAGTTTTGTATTTCTTTGTTCTGACCCAATCCGCTCTTTGGTTAGCTAGGCTTAGGCCTCGCGTTTTGGGCGACCTCGATCCTAAAAAGCCCTATCGGCTTCTGTTATTGTCTTCCGCAACTTTAACTGCGCTATGACCTGTTTAGCCACAACGCCTCGGTCTATTATTAGGCCCGATATATTCCACTACTACCGCATGAAAGAATCTTTCTTAGCTAATTCTTAGCTACGCTCTCTTAATCCGTTGCTATGATCTCTTGTTGAATAAGGATTTTCATTCTACTACCTTCCCTTAAAAATCATGTTTAGCTAGGACCTAGCTAATCTCTTCATGAAAGGAAACCTCTACAACATATTTAACGCATAAAGTGCTTCATGGAAACTTTGCCTGCTTGTGATATATTGCAATGTTTAGGTTCTTTGCCTAACATCGTCGACATCATGACTGCCGTTTACTATGTCCACCACCGTCACTACTCCTTTTACTATGGTTTATTAGTGCAAAGTTTATCACTCGTTAACACACTATTGATTCGTCTACACGTCTCAACCGAACCGGGGACTTACGCTACAGATCGAGACTTCCTTGAAGCCTCTTCAAACGGATATCCATTTCGACGACCTTCCTTACTAGGGTAGCGGTGGCTGAAGTAAAGGACGTTTGCTGCTTTGGCTGATCCGGGGGTCGGCCAGCATACGATGCCCCTTCCTTGTATTCAATAGGGTGAGGCGAGTGTTATAACCTATCCAGAACTTTGCTCACTGCCTTACTTATTAATCTGAAAAAAATGTAATTCTATTTCTTGATCTCCGTTTATAAGTTCTTGTAGTAAACTCTTCTTCCATTACACACTGTCTGCATCGTTGTACCATTTTTATCGCATTCTTATAACCTACCTTTGCTAATATGCCCTCTATGGACAAATCTAATGATAACTCGCTGCCGACTATGTTGCCTTCATCTCAATTTGATTACTTCCAGAACTCCCTTCCAAAATGTTCAACAAGACGTCGCCCTAATTTGTTTCACAAGACATCTCTCCCCACTACTGGCACCTGCCTCCCCACTTGTGCAACAGGCTCCTAAGCCACCTATCATTGAAACGTCCTCTGGCGAAGCTGCACAACAACCTCATGCAGCGAAGAGATCTCTACCACGGCTAGCGCCTGCCATCCCACGGATGCAAATGCCCCCTTATCCCCCTATCGTTGAACCTTCCTGTAACTCAGTTCCAAGCAGCGGAAGATTCCACTTCTGGAGGGCATCCCGCAACGGAAGCCATTCTGAATGATGTCGCCGAGATCTTGTTGGGCCTATTTGTTCCATGGCAAGATTTATCAGCGATCCTGAGCCAGTTTACCACGCAAGAAAATATGTACTCCACTGTGTGGGCCATTATAGAGCCAACCCTCGCACCTCATAATCGAGAATTCGCTGCGAATATTGAGCTTCTTCGAAAGTCTAAGGAAGACTGCCAAGCAGACGCGAGGTTGCGTGCATCGGCTCATCAGGAGGACGACTTTTTCGACCGATATACCGCTGATCTCGAGCAAAGAAGTTTTAATTCTGAGAGTGATGAGGATGATGAGGACTCCCAGGGTCAGGGTGAGAGCTTTACCGCGGAGACTCTGATCGCCGCCTACCACACCGTCAGACAAGCCTGGAGCCGAGAGTTGACCATCACCGCGCACCGGATCCCTGCATTAGTCCGAGGAACTACACTAGGACGAAATATGCCACACATCAACCCGCGCCAACTTGCTATTTCCACCTCCTCTGTCAATAATACCTTAGGTATCACATTTCTTCCACCTTCCGTGCTACAAAACTGGGAACGCCGCCTCAAATGCCTTGCGAGCACGAAAAACGATTCTTCTACCGCTGAACATCTGAACTCGTCCTTCCAGCTAGATGATGTCGACCAAGATATTGGAGACGGCTTCCTACAACCTATGCTAGTAGACTCAGGCGTATTCCACACTCTTCAGGATCGCCGATATCAGCTTGGTGAGAATCCAACAGCCGCCTCTCTAGCATCATTAGTTGGCCAAGGTATTCCGCTAAACAAGAAGCAACAATTCATTGTCGTTAAGATATTATCCGAAGCTTTGGCTTGGGCGGATCATCCATATGACTCTTCTCGGCGGAAGCAACTCCTACTCTGCATCACGGGAGAAGGCGGTACAGGGAAGTCCCAAATTCCCAGGGCCATTGTCGCCGCTATGGATCTTCTCGGACGCAAAGATGAGATTATGCTGATGGCCCCGACCGGTGCGGCTGCGGATACGATTGGCGGAAACACGTATCATACATGCCTGGGTATCTCTATCAATCGCCTGCAAAAGGGTGCAATGGGCTCCCGTGTCAGAAGACTTTGGGCACACAAGACTATTATGTTCATCGACGAAATGAGCATGTTGGACTTGACTATGCTCAGTGTGGTTAATAACCATTGTATGATTGCTCGTTCACTGGACAGATCCTCCCCTGACCTCTTTGGGGGACTACCCGTGGTTATTCTCATGGGAGACTTCTTCCAATTCCCACCGGTGCGAGGCCCCGCTCTGTGGAAGGACCCAAGAGAGGGAAACGATGAAGATGCAAATGGCCAAATGATCTGGCATCGATTTAAACAAGTCATCATCTTGGACGAGCAGATGAGACAATCGGAAGATCCTTCATTTTATGGTCTTCTCACGCGAGCGCGGCGAGCAGGTCTGACTCAACGCGACGTAGATCTGCTGAATACGAAAGCCATCAGTTCACTTCTAGTACCTGGGATGGAAAGTGTCACGGCCATAACGAAGCTAAACTCCGTTCGACATCAGATAAATCGCATTCAAATAGAGCATTTTGCAATAACCAGATCTCAGACCATTTGCATCTTTCCCGCCGACCACAGCCGTATTAAAACCACAAACGCCACCAAAACGCGGCTACGGGCCGAAGACCTGCTCCAGCAACCTGACCAAGGGACAAAGATCCCATTCCCTGGTCTCTTTCTCTATACCCGGAACATGCCAGCCGTGATACTCACCAATATTTGTTCCCGTATTGGCCAAGTGAATGGCGCGTTGGGAACGGTGGTGGGTGTAGTACTAGACCCGACAGGCAAGTCGTCTTTCTCCCGAAAATAGTTTGCGCTGACCCAAATTTTCCAATCAGCACAATTATTTGAACTCAACAACCTATACATGTTTTGCACCAAACCGCCCGCATGCCTTTTGTTGAGATTGAACCGACCGCAATCCGCTAATTTCGACAACCTTGAGCTTTCGGTGATGCCCGTTTTCCCATTGGAACGATCCATCTCCTTGAAAGGCTTTTCTATACGGAGGAAACAGATCCCAATGTGCCCAGCTTTCTCTCTCACCGACTACAAAGTTCAAGGCTCAACCCTCACTAAAGCCATCCTTGACCTCAAGAATGATCCCACTAGACGGGGATGGGATGCTCACAGGAAATATTGCTCTATGTATGTCCAACTGTCTAGACTTCGATCGCTTAGCGGACTTCACCTCCTTCAGAAGATTTCCATGGAAGATATTGAATTTTCACCTGACCCACGACTGCTATCCGAAATGAAACGGCTCCAAGGTCTCCAAGAAGAAACAATCGGTACCTGGAATAACACTAACTTCCAGACTTATTAAGATCTGTTGCTAGAAGTATCAGACGTATACACAGACAGACTCTAATACAGCACTTACCAGACTTACCTACTTCACTGCTCTTTTGGAACGCAGGCCTTCCTATGTAATTTCCAGTCCGCCTTCTGATAATCTCTCCCACAGTATGCCACCACCTTGCAATGCCCGCACCTCTTCGCGCCTTCTCTTCTACCACAGTGAGGATCCGACGCCCGACGACAATCCTTCTCATGTGCTTTCATAATAAGCGTTATTGCACTGAGAAAGCTATTCACATAGACAGGGCTTCGCTGTAGGAATTGAGATTCGACTGTGATCAGGTGGCTAGGAATATTATGATGGAACACAAGTTTGTTACTTGTATTTTCGCAGATGAATTCAAAGCAAACTGAACGTGTAGCCATTTTATGAGATTGGAGATCGAGATCCTTTCTTTCAAAATGTTATTTTAAGTGGCCTAGTAAACTGAGTTCCGCGGAGATATATATTCAAGTGATAAGGTTTCAACAAAGTCTGCCCTTTCCCATTTCGGACCATATAAAACTTCGATTCTTACGCCCCTTATGGCCATATCCAATAAAGTTACTTTTTCGGGTACTAACCTTCGTTCCTTTTTTTTTACTTGTCGTTTCAGGGCATCGGCGTGCGGAACTTGTGGAGCGCGCGTCACCAGTAAACAGTCAGCGCCTGAATTCCTAATGCCTAATTCTGTCTCCGCGAGCTAGACTTGTTGCATATCCTTTGGTGGTCTCTCACCCATATACACCTGCATTTTTCGACAATTGCAATCTGGATGTATTCAAGTTTGTGTGGTAGGTGCACTTGTGGATTGGGGGAAAGATTTGACTTCGAATCTGATGTCCGTGTTGTTATAAGAGATCCTGTAGTACATCTGCGACAGGATGATTAGTTGAAGTGCAAGTAATTGCCAGACACGTCTCGACAACCTTTCGATATCAGGTGGAAAAGTCAGAGCATTCTTTGTAATCTCACATCCGTCATACCACTGGGCTCAATAAAAGGCCTCTGCTCATGCAGTGCTCTATTGAAAATGGTCTCCTGGTAGTACATCTGAGTTGGTGGTTCTGGGTATGTGCGGATGTATGTAAAGAGTTCTTGTTTTGGCGCCCCGGGTAGTGGTATGGACGTTGTGTCGGGACGATAGCAAGTGGTCAGTGACGATACTAGTGTGGTTTGAAAGGGCAAGGGAGAATTGAAGACCAGATTGTCGACTCATTCTGCGTTCGAGAAGGGATCATGTGTCAACTAGTAGCTAGAGAGGTACTCTGCAATAGCCAGGTCTGCTCATTGCTACCAGTCGCGTGACTCTGTGGCTCTGTGATTTCAAATTCTAATAACTCATACTATAATCCCATCCCTGCTTTCTGGAATTGCGCGGATAATTTGGCATTGTGGATGTAAAGGCGGAATGGGCTTTCGATAGTCTCGTTGATTGTATGATTGTGGTAAGCACGAATGTCCAAGCAGAAGCATTCTTAGTCTGATCCACTTATCCAAAATCTGTGACTATGAATAGCTATTATCGTGGGTGGCCGGTTGCGCATGCCTCACCTATTGGAGTATTTGCAATTTTGAAAAAATACAATGTACGTGTCTCCGTTCTCATAACAGCGACGCTCTTGTGGAAGAGGACGAAGGAAGCAAGCAACTACTGAACGTAGGGAAGCAGTCGGATCCTATATCCCGATGGACGCTTAAGGAGGGTACGGTTAAAAGGGAGAAATAGAAATAGCCCGGGCGCTCTTTATGGGTAAACTGCGTAAATGAAGAATCCGAGAGACAAGGAAAGCTGTGATGCGGCCTTAGAGACATAATAGCAATTGCTGTCAACCCACTGTACGAGCTGGTCGCCCATAAGCAATTTCAAAAAACTATGGAGACGTTAGCCAAGGGTCTGATAGCAACTTTTTCGCCGAAGGTCTTTCTTCCGGTCGCCATCGAAGCATCCTGCGCATGAACCGGAGAAAATTTGCTTGATGTTCTCCGCAAAGGTTGCCTTCAAGTTCCTCCAAAGACTGAGAAGGGATTTCAGCGAGGCCCTTCCATTTCCCTGATTCCCACCGGTTAGAAACACAAACTGAAACAAAAAAGACGAGTAATAAGTGGGAACAGTACCGCTAGTATCAAAAAAATTGTTCGCATATTCACTTTTATCAAGCATCTCGCGTGGCGGTGGTCCCAGGTAGGCAATCATTTCAGCAAGGTGATGGCTTTCTGACTCCTGCTTGTTTGCATCACGGGCTTTGAAAAGATGTCCTTGTTCAAAGAGGTCCCAGGTCTGAAGGTGGTGTGGTCAGAAGTATATATAGATATGGAAGTTAAATGCACCTACCAATACTGCAAGGTTCCAAATGTCAATCTTTTCATTCCACGGCATGCGAAGTATCACCTCCGGAGCCCTGTAGATGAATGGCTGTACAATATCGTAGTATGTTCCAGTATCCGAACCAAAGCGAGCCTCACCAAAGTCTGCCAGTACGGGACGGCCATGCATTTTTGGAATCCCCAGCTTTCGAGAATAATATATTGTCCGATTCCCAACGAGTTTGCGGGGGCTTGGAATGGATATCTCGGCATTCTCAAAATCGACGAGAATCGACTCATCTTCAACATCGAGCATGACGTTCTTTTCTTGTATGTCTGCTCTATATAAGCGTAGAACATTTCGGCCACCATTTAGGGAGTCGAACCTGTGTGGATCACATGTGCCTCGCTGTGCAAGAAATCCAGGGCGATGAGAATATGATTCAGAGTGGATTTGAGCAGGTTCTCTGGGAAAACCTTTCTCGCTGTCCGTTTTCGAAGTTCTAACAGACTCATGGCCAAGGGTGGGTGAATGAGACACTGATAGAAGTGAGAGCCATCAATCGAGCGGAGTTGGAATTTATCCAACACGGTTCGCAAGAGAATGGTGCCCGTGTGACTTGATTTGAGACTCTTGAGATGCTCGAAAGCCTCAATCTCCCGTTTTGCATGACTGGAATCACGTTCGTATAGTTTCAATGTCACGAACGAGTGCTCTCTTGTACCACGTTAGTCTCACTATCAAGGTGATCCTCAATAGCGCATGGAGTCGGGGCATACCGTAAGTCTCTGCATAGCCATACCGTTGAATATCCACCATAGCCTAGCTTTCCTACCACTTGATACTTCGAACGAAATACGTCGCCAATTTTAACAGGAAAGAAGTTGTCTTGGGAGTACCATGGTAGTCTTTCCTCCTCTAGCTTGTCGACTGAGTCAAGAAGGGGGCCGGGTGAAAACTCTCGTGCTGGCAATGGGTGACGCCGGAAAAAGGGTACCCCGAAAAGACGTGATAAACGTTGCATCGCCATCGAGTCCCAGCAGATTGGCCGGACGAAGTTCAGCAAGGGCTGGGTGGAGGGACTCCTCAGTGGGTGGATGGTCAACGGGTCGTGCCCCAGAAGTTCCGAGGACGCCAAATTCACTACCGAGTCGACCACCCAATTAAAAATCGCGTTCCGACGCGTGCCCACCATCTTCAACCACCCCACCATGCCACCAACACGCGCTCGATCAAACCGAGATTCGATTGAACAGGAAGGCCGAATCCTCCTAGCTATCAGAGATATTCAGAAAGGCTCTACCAACTCTATACGCACAATCGCAGCGCGTTACCAGGTACCTCGCACTACGCTACAGGACCGCGTCAACGGCTACTATTTTCGAGCTGAGATACGCGCTAATAGTCATAAATTGACTAAATTTGAAGAAGATCCACTTGTACAGTGGATACTCCCAATGGATTCACGTGGTGCAGTGCCTAGTCCCTCTACTGTGAGAGAAATGGCTAATACATATTCTACTTGCCGACCGTGGAAAGACTCCCTCCCCGCGATATACCCATCCCACTCGAAGCGTACTAGGTAGTGCCGATCCCCAAAGTCGTACCGAATAATATGCTGATGCGATTCAGTGTCCCCTAGCCGGGCCCCATAATACTAGTCGAGAAAGGTGTAGCAGTAGCCACAAACATTTCGGGATTCGCCTTAGGGGCGAGTTCTCGTGGCGGACGAAGAAGACAGTAGTGCCCACGTGGTTCATCACGAAGCGATAATCCTGGTCCACGCCGCGCAGACACCGGGACAGGGCTCCCTAGTATGCTGGAGCAGGTGACGATGTCCACCGCGCTCGGGATCCTGTCTTCGGACGGCCTCGCAGGCGGAGTCTCACAGGAAGGCAGGCGACCGGGCGGCGCCGGGGTCTCACAAATACTCTTCCGGGTCGGGAGGGGCGTAGTCGCTGGCCTATGGGACGGAGCGTCCATCATGGAGGTTAGCGATTTGCGGTCACATTTCCTTTCCCTCTAGAAGGACAAAGAAACACCCACTGGGGACAATGACTGACAGATCGACAGATCTGCTTGGACGCGCCAGGAGTAGGAGGCCATGTCAGCGCAGTCTGGGTTGTCGGGGCTTACCTGCAGCTTGTCTCGCTTGATCTCCACCAGCAGCCAAAGGTATGGTGGGGGGCTGCTGACAGCGGCACAGGCACAGGCACAGGAGCTGGTGCGGGGACAGTGTCCACTCGCCGAAGCGGCTCCCGCAAGAACTCCACTGGGGTCGCGATGATGAAGCTCTCTGCATTTTGTTGGCTGTTTCACAGACACGGGGCTGGGGAAGGTAGGGATAGAGAAGAGCAGAAGTAGAGGAGGGGAGGGGAGATGGGGGACGAAATCCACGACGCCATGTTTCCCAGCCCAGACCGCTGTGTTTGGGGAAGAAGGCTGAGGCCTGGCTCTTTATCTGGATTATTCACCTGCACGGATTCGCTGCTGTGTTATTCACTGCCTGGAGGGAGATTACATGGCTGTTGCGGCTCTTTTCTGATTTTTTGTTCCTTTGCCGCCCTCACCCTCTGTACATCATTATCACTCCCATTTCCACTTCCATTTCCATCCTTGCGTCCATTTCTACCGCTGGAGTGGGGATCAGACCCACTAACTAGTTAACACCACCGATCACCGATCCTCAGACATCCTCGGGCAACCCAACTGTCCCCAAATTTGTCAGCCTCCCGCGTGAACCGGCTGTCTAAGTATCTGAACGCCGTCATAAAGGGAACCAAGAAGGTCCGAACGAGCCGCTGATGCGAAGCTGCTGGAGACCTTGTGTGCCCAGCACGACCTTCTCTGGTGCGTCGAGCACGTGCTGGTCTCCACCACCGCGATCGAGGCGCTACAAAACAGCATACGCCTAGACCTGTCTCTACAATTCTTCAACGGCTCCATCGCAGCTTTCATGAACTATCTTCAGAATCTAGACCTCGAAAGACTCGGCAGCAGACAGTTCGTGCGCAAGGTCATCGGCTATCTGGTCGATCCTCCGATCCTCTAGAACTTCTTCATCGACGCACACATACAACGACTGTTCGACGAGGAGGCCGAGTTGGGGTTCGCCTGGCTCCTGCTGAACCTCCTGGGGTTGCCGTCACGCGGCCCGGGCGTAATCCGGATCGCCCAGAGGATCAGGAGCAGCGATCGTTCCAAGATTCTCCCTCCCTATGCTTCAGAGCTCTTGGCTACCGCATCGATAACGTCATCCAAATCATGGCCGTCCAGGTCCCCCCAGAGGAGAGCTACCATCCCGGTAGGCGGCACGACAACGATTGGGAGGATTTCCGCAAAATAGCCATCCTCCCCATTCCCGGCGAGACTATGTCGACGACTCTGCCCTACTGCCGACTGGAGGAGGAGATCTACCACGTGCCCCTCGATCAACGTTCTGCCGCTCACTATGATAACCAGTTCCGACTGCTGCGGGAGGACCTGCTGGACGAGCTGCGCAACGACCTGCAGATTGCTCGCGGTCAGAAGAAGGTACGGCGGTATGCACGCCCTATAGAAGGGCTGCTCTCCCACAGGATTGGCTGTGGGGGGCTCAATCGTCGCAGGACTTCTCGGTTGCAATTCCGGTGCACTAGGGGGCTTCACTAGCTCGCTGCGCTATGACGGAGAAAGTGCCATAAGGCTCTGGATACCAATAAAAATATCCTTATCAATCCTTTTTTGGGACGACATCCGACGCTGGTCTTGGACGTGTCTGCCCCCAATGGGCTGAATCGGGTCTTACTGTATGCCAGGATCGGCGCTCTGTTCGCCTTTCTGGCCGTAAACGCCCCTGCCGTTGCGTATGAGCCAATTCTGCAGAGGCTGCAGGAGAAAGTTGAGTTTCCTATGGCCGAAATGCTGCTCGCGGCGGAACCCCGCTAGCAGCCACTAACTAGAGCTTAACGCCAAACTGATCGCTGTCGTCAATCACATCAGGAAGAAACAGGGAAAAGACTTACAGGGTATCCTGGGCTCCCCAGGGAGGGGGTCACTAGACTTCCTTGAATTCGTGTTTGAGTACTATCTACCATAACAGACTGGCCCAAACAGATCCAGTTAGCAAAGCCGAGTGAGGTGAAGCGCCGATATGACTGAATAATCGAATCAGCCCCGTCCCCACCTTTTTTCCGCATACTAAATAAAATCCTAAAAATCAAATTGGCCCTGATTTGATTTACCCGTCTGGTTTAAGTGGGGACTTTCGCCTAAACTCCGCTGTTCCAATAAAGCACAGGGCTTCATGATGACACAAATTTTTCGTCATACGCCGTCTAACGTGCCTATACACTTTCATATTCCAAACATTGGTAAGCCCTATGTATCCACTATGTAATTCGAATCATCATCAATTCGTCAATATCTTCCAGTTGGTATTTAACTCTGCTGATAGAACCTTCCCTTCGTCTACTGAACTCATTCAACTAGCCTGGGCCTATTTGGCCACACGGAGTCTCAATATAATGGAGGACATTAAACATGAGATCGTTGTTCACGGCAACGCGGTACAAGGTGGGAAAAACATCAACGTCTCGCCTCACAGCGATCGTGCATCCATTACTCTGCAAAATGAAGAACGACAGCTACACTTTTCCATCCCTACTCCAGTCATTGTCGATGGAAAGCGCCTCAAAGCCGGCAAGGTCTGGATCCGTTTCAGCACCTACGAGAAGTCGTCAGACCATGCATCGGTGATCTCTTACATCAAGATTACGGACGCCGACAAGCATGTAGCAACTATTCATGAACGTCTGACGGGACGACCAAACCAGGCATCTATCGATTTCGAACGCAAGGACGTTGGCTGGGGCTTGAATGTTACCGTTGGATTGGAATATGATAAAGGACCTGCTGTAATTGATATCCATGGCGTGGGTATCGATTTCTATGCTTGAAATAAGTGTACTTTGTTCCCTTCACAAGCTACGTCAGTCATTTTGGGTTCTTTCTAATTAAGCACAAGCCCGAGATCCTAGACAGATTCATCCAGGTTGAACAATGCCTCAGAACATGGCTTACCTCATGATCAATCGTGTTTCTGGCCACAACGCTTTGGAACATTAATATTGATGGTACAGAAGTCACGTGACGTAACTCACGCGTCGACCCAAGAGTATACTCGAAGTAGATGCGGAGGTAGGAAGGACTGGATATATTAGGAGACTCCTTTCGCACATGTATTTAGTTCTTTGCGATCAATTGCACATTTTTACTTGGATCTACTGTTGACTAATACTTCACCGTTCGACTAAAGCGAAACATCCTACAAGTAGGGGACCTTTTCGGACTAGCGCACTCGACTGGCGCACCTCTGCAAACATCCTAAAGACCCGAGTCCGTGTAAGGCATCGCATCGCAACGGTACAGTTGCGGACAGGCTTGGAGTTTACGTATACTTAAGGTATGTATCACCCAGGAACTCTTAGTTCACCGCCAGCCAGTAGCGCGTAACATACGGAAAGTATAAAAGCGGCTAGATAGCTATATTACCTCGTTCAGTAGCTTGATTGAAAATGCTTTTATCATATTCCCTATTTCTAGTCGATTTCTCGAATTTAATCTTATTTTTCCACTGTACTGTAAGTGGAAATCACTAAATTTTCACGGCTATAGGACAGAAAAATACAGCATAATATATAGAAGTAATAGATAGACCAATAAAATAGAGTTTATGGGAGTATGGGACTGAGGAGAAGAGCCACTCCAATGTCCCATCCCACGACTCCTATGGGAGGAAAAATAACCCCCATTCCGCCCCATGGGAATGTGGGATGGGACCCACGGCAATTTGATAGTCTAGATTCTCATTGAGTTCGAATTTCTGCATAACAAAATCGGATGAATAGATGCCGAGTTTGTCGCGAACAGAAGTAAGAACATAAGAAATAATAGAAAGAAGTATATTCATTGTGAAGGTCTACTTTCTTCGAGTTGGTGCAAAGGTATCAGAGAGGTCGAGGATTACTCCGGGGTTGTCTCTCAGGAATCGCCAAAACGTAGGTCCTGCATCGTTGTAATGCTCCCAGCATACTTGAAAATATCTATTCAGATCCCTGAGCGAGAACTGATAGCACAATTTATTCCAATTTTTATTCTTCCCATGGATGGAACGTTAATGGAGTTATAAGTTTTCGGTCTAAGGTCCAGCTTCCTCCTGTTTCGCAATTAGGATGAACCTATACCTAAAATCAGCATGATGCAATCAAAGTCATAATGTCATCAATGATACATCATATTGTCGATGAGCTCATAGTAAGCCCTCTTGTCATTTGTTCTATATAATAGAGTCTGTGTTAAGCATTTCCGTACTTAAAGCTCTAAACACTACTGCATTACCTTATTCCAACAAAATCCGTTTGCAAGGAGTTGAATAATCATATCCAGACAAGACCTTATACAGATATGCCTTCCATGCAGTCAACCTGGGCACATGGTTCAGGAGTTGTTCTTGAATCAAGGCCGTCGTGGGATGTTCTTAGGCAAGCATTTTTTACGACAATCCGTCCGTCACGTGGTCTCTATGCCGGTTGGGTACACTTCGCTATTCCAACACCAACAGTGTTTGATGGAAGGACCCTTAAAGCAAGAAATGCTTTAGTCCGATTCGCCACTGGTAGCACTGCTGCAATCACCAATTTCCACGTCTTTGATGGCGAAGCAAAGATTGCGAGTTTTGACGAAGTGGATCTACGTGGGGAAATAGTTCACGACAAAACTATGCAAGTGCCAAACGCAGGTATCGTGAAGTATGGAGTAGGCATCTCCTTGAGACTGGAATTTAGCGGAACTGGGGAAAGTGACTTTATTAGGCTGGTATCCGCGGGTGTCGAATTTGACTCCTAGCGAATTTTTATGTGCGGCGTAAATAAATGCAGACAAATGGCAACATTAGCCGCCGACACCTTCTACCCTGTGACTGGGCTTGAATAGACATATATAAACCCAAGTACGTACCGAGTAAGCCCCCCTTAATTTGACACTCATCTCTACAGCTGTCACCGATGCCATCCAGCCGTCAGAACCGCAGAGCTTGGCCAGGCTGCACTGGACGAGATGTCAAAAAGCCCTGGCTGGAGCCGACGCAGCACCCTTGCAAATTCCCTCCACCTGGTTCCACACCCATCCTCGGTCTGCCTATCTACCGCAGCTTGCCGGGCATTGGCGATAATGGGTGCCCATCTAAGCCAGAGCGGTAAATCGAATCACGTATGTCCAGCACTGGCCCTGGCAACGCGCCATCTCCCGTAGGATAAGGTGTCCGTCGTGGGCATACCGGATGAGTCGGTGGTGGTGCTCCTGGACAGGCGCACGGCGACCCTCGTCCTGCTCATCGAGTAAGGCAAGAGTGCTTACACGGACAAAGGAGGGTGCAGAGGGTGGTGTGGTGAGGGTTGGCTGGGACAATTTAGGCTGGGATAGGACCTGTATAAAAGCTCTAATATCGATATCGGCCTTGGACAGCTGCTGAATCGGATGGCGGAGCCGTGAGGACCGAGTGTGGCATGGGGTTGGCGTGTGGCTCACAACTTGGGTGGCGTGAGGGGGGATACTCTTTGAGGATCCTATAGTTGCGGCAACGGATGATAGGTGACGATGCTTTCCAGACATAGCATCTTTGATGACGGTGGGTGTTGGACTCCGGGCGAGACGATGTCTGCCCTGCGAGTGCATATGTCGTGGTGTTCGTGGGAGGGCGATGACTCGGAGACTGGGTTGCTGGAACCAAAGAAGATGTCCTGGGCGTCGTCATGGCTGGCAATAGCCATGAAGGTAGAGTGGAAGTGAGACTTGGGCCGTGGGTGTTTTCGGTGGTCGTGCAAGGCCCTGGTGGGTGGCGGCAGGGGCCCAGCTCTCAGCTGAGATGGAATCTCCTCCTCATCTCCTCGATCTCTTGAGGGCTCAATGCCAGAGACGCTGGCATTGGTGGGGAGTGGTGGGTAATGGTAGGTAGTGGATGATAGCAGTGGGACATGATTTCACCCCTAAGGTACTGGCGTGGGGTGGCTGGAAGAGCGAGGGCCAGGACTGGGGCTGATGCAACACTCATATATTCCCCGACTTAGATGATGTTGACGGTGCAGCCGAGGACAAAGACCAATTGGCGATCTCCAGGCAAGCCTCTCTTCTTCCGTTGATGGCCTAGTCCACGGATGTGAGCTTACTGATGCGATGGGCATCGCGGCGGACCAGCACCAGCAATTTTGCGAGGCCAGCCGGCAGTGGCGCTTCTTCCAGGGCTTTCCTAGCCTCCACACAGACCGAGAATTCCAGGCCGATGAGCAGTAAGAGCGCCACAAAAAGGAACTCCTGCGCCAGGAGTAACCTGACATGCATGTCTTGCGCTTTTGGTCCTTCTGCTGACCCTCCAGACCTTGGTCTGTGATGAGGTCGAGTTCTAAGGCGTCTGGGAGGCCGCGCTCTGCATCATCAATGTCGATCATAGTCCTGTCCTGATCCCTATTGGTGACGGCAAGTCCTTGCTTTTTATGATCCTAGCCCATGCCGTTTGAAACATAAAGGTAGTCCTAGTCCTGTTGGTCTCTCTGCGGGAAGACCTGAAGTGCCGCTGTGATCTTGCCCGTCTCCTGCGCCGAGTGGGATTCCCTCAACCAGCCCGATCGAGCCAGCGTGGTCCTTGCCACCCCCAAGGCCTTCTCCAACAACCAGACTTTCTGGGCTTCCTCCGCCAGCAGGAGGACCACTGCCTTGAGTGTATTGTTATCGATAGATGTCACTTTCTCCCCTTGGACGACGCTACCACTTCCGATCCGCCTTCCAGTGGATCTGACGGAATGTCCTCCGAGCCCAGACCAGTTGGCCCTGTTGACAGCTACTCTACCACCCGCCCTAGCGCCCAAGCAAGCCAACTCTCTCCGCCAAATCAAGCCACTTGAACTTTTCCGCGCCCCGACCCATTGGCACAGCATCATCTATCGCGTCTGGAATCCCGCCGCTGATCCAGCGTACCTTGTCAATGATGCCTGGTTTCCCGTCCCTGCCGTGATTGAGCATATTTAGCAATGTCGCCAGACTTTCGTCAGTGGAAGCATGATTATATACGTCTTGAACGTTGACCATGGGACAAGCTTGCTGCGCGGCTCAACTGTGCATTCCACCGGTCCCGGAGCGATGCGGGCGGCCGACAACTCAACGCCGATCAGTTTGGGCGCTTAATACATAAAGGAGAGTGGGATGATCATGGCCACCAGCGCACTTGGCCTAGATATTGATATCCCCGATGCGCTCTAGCGATAAGTAGCGTAGGAATTTCACATAAAGGATTGACATCTCCAAATCCTTTCCACGAAGCACCTTAATTTTTCCTCAGAGATAACCAAATCTCTTTGCTCTGGGACAAGGGGAGTTCGATTGAGAAATTTTTCGAGCGGAAGCGCCAAGTTGGGCTGTTGGAAAGCTTGCTTCCTTCGAGTAATTCCCGGTGCCGGCGATTCAGTGCATTTATCAGGCTCTCCTTATTGTAAATTGCTGTTGGTGCTCAACTTTCTTCGCGAGTTCCGTAAGCGGGTTCCCAGAATCGGATTTAACTGGGGAAACCCCAGACAGCGAGAGCTCGGAAACGGAAGGCGAAAATAGAGACGTAAACGCGCTCGAGCTCGAAAGATAAAAGGAGTCCATGGTGGATGGAAGAATAGATGGATGTTGGGTGAAGGCAGGAAGGTGAAAGAGGAATGCACGACTCGCGGAGCACTGCTGTGGCTCGGGAGTGGAGGAGTCATTATGTCATCATCGGCCCAGAGTCTTGGCGATCTGAGAGGAGTTGTCGACTCCTCGGCAACATGGCGTGTCCCGTCTGATTTCACCATTCCAGCGACGCGGCCTGCTTTTACTCGAAAGAGCCAGGTAGCCCGATGGCGTGGGTCCGCATCTGCGCTCAAAAGACTGCAATAGCATGAAGATTGGCACCGGCGATACGCTGGCTGTGCCTACACTTTCTGAGAACATCGTATTGGATAGCACAGAGCGGCCGATCTGAGACTTCTGCGAATTGTCTGGTGGTCCTTTCCCTACGATATCTGCTCAATTCCCACTGTGCTAACTGTGCAACAGCTTCAGAGACACCTCTTGCTCGTTGTGCGAGACGCAGATCTTCATAACCTCGACCGTCTCCGCCGCTAATAAAGATGTCAGCTTATATCTCCAGCTGAGGACCAGTGGAAGAGACTTACACATAATTCGATTATTATTCGCACCATCTTCACGACGGCCATTCAACCGAGTATAATGCAGCACCAGGTCAACTCGCGGATGCCGTGCAGGATGGTACAACTTCAATCGCGCCCGGATCTCCTATGCCGAAATGCCGCGAGAGAGCAGGGTCGCGATGCTGACAGCGACTTCAATCGCCATAGCACCACCTTGACCTATACCTGAAAGGAACGTTAGCGTCCGACAAGCACCGCCACTTAGTGGGGCGGATTATATGGCTGAAATAGGTGTGCAGCGTCGTTCGCCCAGCAGCGCTGTATGTCCCTGGACCTAGATGGCGAGAGGATCCATGTCGTACAGATCCCAGACCTTGAAGGTTTGATCGGCGTGACCCACGATCTGCTAGACTGCGGGCGCAAAGCCTGTGAATCCATGGATTATCGCGTGCTGATCGTTGGCGATCTGCTGGCCTACACGTTCGTCAATAATAGAGGGCGGATAGTATCGTTGAAACCATATAAAGGGACGCTGGACGCGACAGTGACGACACGGGCTGCCTAGCGCACGCAGATACCCCACGAGACTTTTAGTATCTCTGAGACGATTTGGGAGTAGCTATGAGGGCTTCGCCAGCTAGGAGATAGTCTTTGCGGCCTGGACGAACCCCGATGACGACATGAGCGCAGACAAGGGCACAGCCATACTCCCAAACCTCATATATGATTGAGGAGCGGAGCTCAAAGCAAAAACTGATACATGCGGCCTGAATAGGGCTGAGGTGCAGACTAAAGAGAGGCCGGTGGTCAAGGATAGCTATGATGGCCGAGCCTGAGCCCAACCTATCCGGAGCTGTCTCAGATGTGGTGGAAGACCGGCCTTTGGGGCAGCTCAGGTCTCCTCTGCAGCGGCCCAGAGATGATGCAAGGCACTAAACTGCTCATCTGTAGATCTATACTTCGGATTCTTCCACTTATGCTGGGCCTACGGGTCACCAAAGGACACGAGGACTTTTTGCTATGGGATCACATGGTTGTTGAGGTCCCCAGGATCAAGATATGCTATTAAGGGTCGGTGCGCTAGGGTACCAAGACAAGTCTGTGTAGTCTGTATAAATGCTGTGCCTAAAACGCTTAGTGATGCTTTGGTTATGGCCGCAACGGTATGCGTAGCCTTCCAAGAGTGGGCGAGAGATGTCTCTGCCTTGGGATCCGGTTGGTGGCTACTGGGGAGCAGAGTCTTATGTTAAAACTCTTTGAGGTAGTGCGGCCACTCAATCCGGCGAAGCCAAGGGTTGGCCTTTATGATTTTCATCTCTTCGGTGACAATTTCACTCGGTCGTACGGCCTAGACTGCCTAGAAGTCGTACCTGAACTGAGTACTATTCACCATAACAGACAGGCCCAATTAGATCCACTTAGAAGAGCCGAGTGAGGTGAAGCGCTGATATCAGCGGCGTGGCCAGACAAAGGGCTTCACCACGAAACAGCACCGGCAAATAGACCGCGGGGGTGTGCTCGTAAAATGATTCCAAGCGCATTAAGACAAATAGCAGAGACGAAAATACAACAAGCGGAGTGGAGAGGAAAAGGAGCGTGAACAAACCACCGAGGCCTGCCAGACTCTAATGCCCCGAAGATTTCGTCCAGCCGAATCTGACTATCCGCCTTCTTGAAGCGTCCGAAGGAGAAGGGGCGCCTGTATTGGAAGACGTTGGTGAAGACGAGTTCCCTAAATGCCGAACACAGAGTGGGCAGACCTGCCCCCTGCCTTAGTTGAGCAGCTAGAAGAGATGGAGCCTCTGGATGCCAACCTTGTCAGGTCGACCCAGATCTCCTGGCCAGGTTCCTGGCTATAGAGAGGGACAGCAAGGCCGGTCAGCTGGAGCTTGGGGCTGAAACTCGTTGCCAAGGTCGCGAGGGCGGGAAAAGGGAGAGCCGAATCCAGGACGCGTGTGCGAGCGAGACCACCACTGTCAAGCGACCCTTAATATGATTAGTGGAGAACAGAATCAAAGCTGCACTGCCGCTGAGCAGCCAAGCAAGGTGAGATGGTGTATATTGACCTGATGAGAGATGAGGGGACGTTCGAACAGAGGATTACAGAATCGGTATATTCTCATGATGTGGTCTCTTGCCTGCTGTATGCTGATCATCATCCAAGGCTGGTGCCCACCTCACGGGAATGCAGGAAGGGTGGTACGCAGGCCGCCCCAGTCGGAGCCAGGGAAGCTCGAGATTTGGAGTTCCTGCGTGACCAATTTTACGTCCTTGCTGCTCCTCAGTAAAGTTCTCTTATTGGTCCGCTCACATAGCCCCACTTTGTTGGGGTTCATGTAACAAAGTCTGACCGACAGGCAGACACACATCATGAAACTCTTTGGTCTATTAATAACCATTGTCATCCCATGTCCTCCGTATTAGCGGATCTACTACAGAGCCCTTTTGTCCGGTTGATCTTGCTGAGGAAAATCGCCCTGCGTATGCGATACTACCCCATCAACTTCAACTGGTTGGTTTAGCTGCTGAACTGTGAAGGGCTACGGCCGAATTGATTCAATTGAGTGGTGCCAACATGCTGTTTATCTTAAGCTTAGAGAAATTTAGAAATAGGGGGTGGCCACGGTGACTAAATATCCTGGGGAGTTGATAGATCACATCGCACAGGCTTGGCCTGGGCAATAGATCGGGGCCTGACCCGTTACATGAACTAGCTGTAGACCTTCTTCAACGATAGACCCACTTCATGTGGTATTTGCCGATTCGATCGTGTACGTTTCTGGCGCGTAGAATAGCGTTTGCGTGCCCCATCTGGTCACACTCTAGTACCCTATTTTGGTATCTTTAAGTATTCATAGTATAATAATATGTGATTAGATACTTATATATACTTTGGAGTTACTGGAACTTGACGAGGTGGGGCATGCAAACTGCTTACCAGACAGGGTACTTTGTCACATTCAGGCACAAAATGCCTTTCATACCACAGGATCACGCTAATGCATTGACGGTCACCTCCATGCTCTTGAGCCTCTTTTACTTCTGTCGCGGATTTGGCTACCTTCGGCCAATGATAGGCGGCTTGCTCCCGATACGTGCCTCAAGAGGTCGGTACTGCATTATGAATCACCAACCCTGGTCGTACTCCGCCCCGTTGGACGAGGTATTCACATTGTGTTGTCAGGGTTCCCCGCTCGGCTCACACACCGTCATCCATGCAGAGATAACTTTCGGGCAAGATCACATTTTACTTATTTTATTTCCCCTCATGTACCGTTATCTCCGCTAGATCTCTCAGAGCACCAGCTCGCTCAGTGCCTACGAGGTCTCAGGCTAGCTGTGCACCTTCGGGTCAATCCCAAGCAATCGTCCTTAAATACAGGTCCAAGTGTGCTAACTGCAGCTCCCCCTCATTTGCCATGAGCAGGGCGCGTAGCACTTGCCGGGCCTATGGCCAATGATAAACGGTATGTAACCGCCAGTCCCTTTGCCGCTGGCTCTTTCAAGCGCTCACACTGAAACATACATACTGTGTTACATAGAAAGCGCCACGTCAGCATACACTCGACCACTCCCTAGCCCAAAACGCTCTTGGGGAGGATGCAGCTCAAAGGGTTTCTTAACTGAGTGGATCTTTACTTCAATGGTGAAGCATTGCTGTCTCGGACTCGAACGTAACTCCGTTTCACTGCATTGGATTAGCTCAGGGCCTCGCTGTCCCGCGCTTAAACCTTTAGTGAAAGTCTAATTCAGTGGCCTCCGGTGTACTCATGCACATTGGCGCAAGATGGTCTCCAAATATTGGTAGCGATGTTATCTTCCAGTCAGCACGGCGATTCGCTTTGTTTTCGGTGGGTCACTTGATGATTCTCCTGCGCCCTTTGGCCTAACTGACTGCAGATAGCACTTCATTCGTGACTGCAGTTGCAAGGGTATGTCGCTTCCATTGGCCTGCAGCCGTTAATCTAGCAGCACTGTGCAGCTATCGTGTTTCAGGAAAATTTTTTCTCTTTTTTTGACTCGAGGCTCATCAAATTTCCTGGCTGTCTTTCCTTACAAACGGACAGGAAGCTGTAGTACATAAATATCAGTCTACCCTTTCCGTCTTTCCCAACAAAATCAATCCTCTTGATAACTGGTACCACGGATTCAACTTTCTCACCTTCGTATGTCACCTAAACCCTTATAGGTCATGACTGTGCTGATAAACCAGATACTCGCGATCAACTACTTGTCGCAATATATTACAAAATGTCCAAGGCCTTGTCAAACTTTGCTCAACTGGCGCAAAGTATTAAAAATGGGCCAGCCAAATTTACAGGCACTGCGTCTGAAGGCAGCCGCCTCATCCCGTCAAGAACCAAGGACGAGCAATTCCAATTCCGAGTCGATGCGGGCCACTACGACGGCACCACTAAACACCTCCATGTCAACTTGCAGGTCAATTCTCAAGCCAAGAGCCCTGCACTGAAAGATTGGGTCAAAAAAAACACAACTCATGAAAAACTTGCGACGGCGACTTTTGATACGACCGCTGAGGACAAGAATGCGGAATATGCTCGGGTGGTGAACGAGTTAGTGCGAATTGGTAAACAGAAGCTTGGATAAATGGGTTAGAAACCAAGTGTCAAGCCAAGTCCGGCGAATGGTTGTGAAGCGAGTGGGCAGGTAGAGTGGCCACACAGGGGCCTGAAATTCTATTATGTATTGACCTTTATGCGTATGGGTAATTCTATTTATGGAAAAATCATTGTCCCAATGTAGTTAACTATCCGCTGACGGATGACGTAAGGTGCCTTGGTCCGGTCTTGGCAAACTTTCAAGCCAACCTCCCGTCGTAAGTAAAAAGGGAAGGCGCCCGATCCCTCTCTCTAAACTTTTCGCACAATGAGCCGCGCAAAGGTACTCCAGATGTTGCCAGTACCTTTCTCCTTGACTCATTACTCTCAGCAGTCTCATTACATCCGACCTTTCCTCGTTCGTGGCGTTACTTCCGGACCCTCCTTTTCGAAGCTCGATCGCGAGCAGTCACTCTCGAGGCATGCAATGGACCAGACAACGAGATATGGTAAGACCGATTAATCATAATGTGCTGTGCGTTGATAACAATGAAATTCTAGGGTTTGATCCTCACCTATATACAAGCGGTCGATGGCTCCGAAACGACAAACGTCAACGCCAGATACGCCAGATTGACCTGAACTTTGATAAACTCTGCCAGAAGATAGTGGACTTATCCAACGGGGCAAAATCTATCAAGGATTGTGAGAAAAAGGAGGGCGGTTTCAACAGGGTGTTCGTTTTCACCATGGACGACAACTCCCGTGTCGTGGCGCGACTACCCTTTCCATTAGCTGGGCCCGCAAAATTAGCCACGGCTTCCGAAGTGGCGACGATTCAATATTGTGTGTGGCACGACAATCCGAGGTGAAGATTAATTCTCGCTAATGCTTTCTGCACTACAGTGCAACGGAAAACGAGCATTCCGATCCCGAAAATTCTTGACTGGAGCGACGATGCGGCAAACAGTATTGGAAGCGAATACATAATCATGGATCATGCGGCTGGCATTCAGTTACATCAGAAATGGCCCTATATGTCGGGTGATCAGAAAGTTAGATGCATAGACGCCATCTACAGAAAGCTCAGGGAGATGGCCGACATCGACTTTCGGGCATATGGAAGCTTATATTTTTCAACCGCACCGTTGGCACCTGCATCCAGGCTACCGCTAGATGGGGGCTTCTGCGTCGGGCCTCATTGTGGAACAAGATACTGGAGTTGTGGCGACCACAGGTACTACCAACATGCAGTTCCCAATCATGGCCCCTGTGAGTCCTTTCTGACTATCATTGAGAAGATCATAGCTAAGACTTGGGGATACAGGGCAGACGATAGGTGAATTTTCCGATGGCCTCATTGATGCAGGCCTTTCAAGGATTCCACCGAGAGATTCTCAACTTCCAAATCGGCCGTCCTATCATGGCTCAGTACAGACGCATTTAGACCTTCTCAAACAAGGTCGTGCAGTACTACATGCAATGTCCGCTGATAGTCGCGTTCAAGATGCGGCTTCGCCGACCTTATTTCATCCGGACCTACATAAAAGGAACATATTCGTTTCGGATGATGATCCTTCGATAATAACGGCTATTATTGATTGGCAATCATCCAGCATAGAGCCGGCGTTCTGGTACGCAGATGAGGTTCCAGACTTCGCCGCTTGTGCGCTAAACGTACATGACGATGAGCTGTGCAAAAAGGCCTACGAAGCTTGTACTCAATTTCTCGTTCCAAAGCTTGCTCTCCCTAGGTTAATGGACGAAGGGATGTTTCGACCTTTTTGGTACTGCTACAGAACATGGAAAGATGGCGTCGTTGCTTTTCGACATGAGCTCATTGCAACCTCCAAAGACTGGAGAGCGCTTGGGTTTGTCGAGTCGTGTCCATTTGCCTTACCAACACCAGAAGAGTTGGCTCTTCATCGCAAGGAATACCAACTTTTTGAGGCGGCACAGAACCTGAAACATGATTTGTCGAGCCTCCTTGACAGTGCGTCTGATGGATGGGTCCCTCCAGAGAACTGGGAAGCGGCAAAAACACAGAATATGGCAATGTTCGAGGGGATGTTGCAAGCCGTACTGGAAAACCAAGATCCGGATGACGACGAACCAATCAGAGACGAAAGGAACTTGCGAGATATCTGGCCCTTTGATCTGCCTGGGGAGTAAAAGCTCTAGCCTCCAGGAAGCCAAACTGCGATCCTAGGGGCACCAGAAGTTCTCCCAGGGCCTACGACGCAAGTGTCTAGGAGCATTTGGGGCATTGCTGGGAATGATACCAGCGCTCCCAGGAGCTCTTTTTGTTTGACAGGCTCTCTGTATACGTGAGACGCTCACAGGAATGCCAGTGTAGATCCCTGGTGTCCGATAGCCCTTGGAATTACCGAATCCCTCCTGCTTAAACGTAATGGTTACAGTTACAGATCAATCAGAAAATTCAGCGCTGCGTATGGGAACTCCAATCTACCACACTGATAATTTGCATATTCTGATTAAGTAGCACATTGGCAGGTCTTAGATCACGAGGTAGAAAATCATTGAATCGAGGATGTAAGGAAGGCTGTCGACAGAGAGCAATTCGGGCACTTGTAGCAGGAGCGGACAGCATTGAGAAAGGACTCGTCGAGAAAGAAATTGATTCGGCGTCTCTCAGAACGTCTTCCCCCCATCAAAAGAAAACCATGGCAACACTAGCGTAGAAGAATCCGGATCCCAAGAGTTGAAAGTGGAGGCCTGGATGGCTCAGCCGCAGTTGCGACCGAAAAGAAACAGAGCGTCGATGGGACGGTCGGCGAGTCCGATTGGGCGAACGAAATTGCAATTGCAGGGGGCAAGGATGATTCCAATATAGAGAGGTAGGAAGAATGGAAAAGTGAGGCAGTGGAGAAGGAACGGCGAGGACAGCACGTTGAGGTTGGGAGCATCGAGGGGGAAGAGGCCCCGCTCCCCGCGCTCCCTAAACATGTCGTATCTTGTCCAGCACCTTCCCCTTTTTGCCTTCTTTTGGTGGCCAAATGAACTGGTGTTAGATGACTCGGAATCCTTAAATTGGTGGCCTCAATTCGCAGCAACTTTGGAACACTTTGTCTTACCTGCTAGTTTTCCGCTCCCAAACAAAATGGAGTGTCGCCCTGATGGCGCGCCGGGCGTCTCCGAGCCTTCACAAACTATCGAAAGAAACAGGAATGCGACCGAAACCAGGCAAGCCATATTGTCAACAAACTGTCGGACACCACTCTCAGATACGCAAACCTCAACGCCGGGGGAAAACCGATGCGAACCTGAAGGAAGCACTCAAAGTTCCAATGAACACAGCCTGGTAGAGCTGCCTTCTAATGGACAGCTCTTCCCATCGCCGTCGAGTAATATGTTGGGAACAAGGCCCCCTACCCACAACAAATTCCCCCGAGTTGGCGACACGGACACATCCGAACGAGAACGCTCGAAAGAAAATTCAGAAACAGAAAAGAATGGACCTTCAGCTAAAGAAACACTAGCAAGATCTCCGAGAGAATATTGCTCGAGAGCTTGACCGCGATGTTGCCTCCATCGACTCTGACGAAGAACGGAAGTGGGTCAACAGAATCTTCGAAGATATTGATGCGGAGGAAAAGCGCTGACAGGGTCTTTCGCCTGCAGAAAGGCGTCGAGAAGACATTCAGTCTGCAGCTCAAGTGCTCGAGAAACTTGTAAAAGCGTATTTTGGACCATACTCAAGGCCTCTCTATGCCGCCTTCCAGCTTCAGGAGGCGCCGGAATCCCGCAGAGGAGCAAAATGTCAGATTCATCATTGCGAAAATAGTATTTGGCCTGGTGATTATCGAATTAAAGTGGATGATGGGAAACAATGGAGCGAATTCCCCTCAGGTAAATATTCTGATTCAATACTTTATCATTTCTTTATCTGAGGTTGAAATATTGCGACAGGCTCCTATCCCATAGAGTGCTTTGAAGAACTCTTGGACTTATCGTCTCCAGCGTATGCCTCAGGATTTGAGCCCGATATGCAATACTTTCCTGGAGGTATGGATTCATGCATCTTGCAAGAATATGATCAATCAGTGCGGCTGGTTTGCACTACCACCAACCATCATTTTTAAAGCCAAAAATCACAATGCTAGTTGGCTTGATGGGCTTCCAAAAGACTGACGAATTGAAGTCTCACCTAATGGCTGAAACTTCGAATGAAATTAGTATCAGATGGCTTCAAAACCTATTCATCCCATTCACCTCAACAAGGATGAAAGGAAAGTATCGCCTTCTGATTCTTGACGGTCATGGTAGCCATCTCACGCTTCAGTTCGACCGAATTTGTGCTGAATTATCGATTATCCCACTCTGCATGCCAGCACATTTATGCCATCTTTTTCAACCTCTGGGTATTGGATGTTTTGCTGTTCTTAAGTGTGCCTATGGCCGCCTAATTACCAATCAGGCACGGCTAGGATTCAGTCATATTGATAAGCTAGATTTCCTAGCAAGTTATCCTCAGGCACGAGAAGAGACCTTTAAACTAGAGACTATTCAGTGTAGTTTCACAGCAGGTCTAGTTCCACTAGATCCTGAACGGGTGCTTTCAAAGCTCAATATTTCTCTCCGAACACCAACACCGCCATCTAACCGACCTCTCAGCTGATCGAGTCAATTCAGCCCTAAAACACCGAAAACGATCATTCAACTACAAAAGCAAGTTTCTTCACACAAAAAAAAAAAACTTGAAAAACGACCAAGGAGCCCTCCTTTACCGTCAAAGATTGTCCTAGATCAGATTAGTAAGAGCTACTGTGTCTCAATGCATACCGGTGCACTACTAGCGCAGGAAGTTGCTGATTTACGGGCTGGGAATGAGAAGAAACAGCAAAAGCGAGTAAGAACGAATCGTCTCGTTCGATGCGAACAGGGTATTACAGTTGGAGAGGGCTTGTGACTACCAGTGCAGCCAGTGCAGCCAGTTGAACCTGTTGAACAGCCTCCGCCCGCACCGGTTGAATCGCCTATTTTGCCACCCCCACCAGCCAAACGTGCACCCCCGGAGATGTAGCGGCT